ATTTTTCAAGTATCTGTACTTTACTGGAGTAGTTTTATTTTGAGTAACTTTTACTTTTACTTCACTACATTCCAAAGCATAAGATCGTACTTTTTACTTCACTACATTTCATAAAACATATAGTTACTCCTTATAATATACCACGTGCTCTGACACGCAGAAGCGGTGTCTGATTCATTCACAAACTGATTCTTTTCAATTAACCTTTTAAATCGGTTGGCAAATCGCACCAAACGATTCATTCACAAATTTGAATGAACTGATTGCAGCTGTTCTCGAGTCGACAACTCACTGATTTAAATGAACCATTTAGTGCGAGTTTTCGGTGAACTGAATTCACAAGTAAGAACCGGGAGATAGTGTGAGCGCATGCGCGACTGATGCTGCTAAATGTAAGTTACTAATGTCGAATTTTAGGATTAATTAGTGTAACTGAAAATCATATTTAGGTCAAAACTGTCAGTTGTTTGTGAACTAAATCTGCTGTAAAGGGTGATCTATTTAAGCCCACTTAAATGCTTGAATGCAGACACATCAACATCAGTGTCTCTGGTTTAGGTAAAAAACAAAACAAAAAAAACAAACATTAAAATAACACAGATTAAATAAAATAACTCATGCACATTCATATTCCCCGCTGCCGTAACGTTAACAGTTTTATTAAAATGATACGAATTTAGCCCTACATTTTGGCTATTTAATTTGTGCAATGGTGAAAAAAATACACGGGAAAACAAAATTGAAAAAGCGTATTCAGTATTCAGCCTTCGGCCCAGTGTTTCATTTTGTTCGGTTTCGGCTTCGGCCAAGAATTTTCATTTCGGTGCATCCCTAAATGTTACATTACGGTGGATCCTGTTCTGGTATATTTTCTTCATGGAAAAATTACTGCAATCTATATTATCCCCTAAAAGAGGAATTATGTATATGTCTAATTTGTCCCCTTCCTGCTTTTCCTCCATTCTACCTCAGGTTAAGTAAAACTTTCATTTTCTATGCTGTTTTAGGATCTGATCATCACATCTAAACCCGGAACTTCTCACTACTGAAATGAATTGCAAACCAGGTCTCAGATCCGCTCTGAACATCAACTTCCACCAACAGTCCTGCGTGAACCACCTCCCTCCCCTGAAATTGCTGTAGCTCTTCCTGTGTTTGAGAGGATAAGAGAGTCTGCCCACGCCTGTCTGGACTCACAAAGCTCTTAATAATAAGGCCACTCTATAAACTAGATGTGAATGCTAAACCATCGGCGAGAATACAGATGGTACAATGAACAATAAATATTCATGCAAGCAAACGTGCAACAACATTAGCATGTAAACAACAGCAGACATGGTTTCAGAAAGCTCAGTCTTTTTTCCTTCCTTTCCCCCACAAAACAACTCAAATTTGCACACTTTAAACACTTTACTCTATGAATGCTATTGCATTAGATAACACAGCTAGTGCAAAGATAGCAAAAGCATGCTATTTATGCAGAACATGGGGTCATGAACTGAGAAACCAAAATTCCCTTGATCTTTTGATATAAGAGGTCATTACTATAAAAAAACTAAAACTTTACGCTAAAAATGGCTTACATTGAAGCCAATCTGCCAAAACAACAAGTTGTGGAATGTGCCACTTTATGATGTAATAGTGTGGCTAAACACCGCATCAGCAGAAGAAGATCAATGCCTGCTTTTACATCACTGCCAGTACCTCTACTAGGATACCTGTGTGAACTTGAGGGGAATTGACTTCATCAACAAAAATTGACCTCAAAACCAGTTAGTTAAAAATAATGGCACATAATGACCATGAACCGTAAAGTCAGCATCATATATAGCATTATTTGTTTACAGACGCCAGTTGATTTGATAATTAGCTATAGTTACTATTCTAATGCAGGGATTCCCAAACTTGCTTTGTCAGCAGAGCCCATTTGACATAAAATATTACATATAAATACTCTGAGATTTTAAGTTAGTATTTCTTAAAAACTTAAAAACACATTTGCATGTTCACAGTGCTCTGATGTTGATTAATGGTAAGATGTAGGAAGGTAAACAAATAAATATTTTATGTATTTTTCCCCCGTATAAATTATTTATTTTAATTTGATATTTTTATGATTTAATTAATTATTAGCTCTTCATCAACTCCCCTGCAGTTCCCTCATGATCTCTAGTTTGGAACAACTTGAGCGAATGCAACAAACTCATACATTTTAAGTGTGGCAAAAGTGCTTTTTGGGGCCACTCGTGTACAAAAACGAGTCATGAACGTACTCATCTATACACATCAAACACTTATACACATACTTGTCTTCATAGCATTTGACCCGTTTAGTTCACTAAACTACCTACTGCTTTACAAAAACAAGCTTACAGCACAAACATTATAAAGAAACACATTCACACTCCTCCAGTGCTACAATAGGCCTCTGTCTACCTTGAACAGTGATCGAGGATCAGTATTGATACCAAAGCAGAAAAGACTAATGAGGCTGTGATCAAGGGATTAGGCTTTTAGCCCACCTGAGCTGGGCTCTGGTGGGCTGATGTTCACAGATGTTCCCACCTGATTTTTATTAAATGTCTGCTATGAAAAGGTCAACATGCAGTAAAAAAGTTTTATTTTTCAAGCATTGCTACTGCGATCATCTTTATACTAGGAACAGAAAGGGACCCTGTCAGCCACAGTTTAGTAACACAGGGCAAACCCCCGGTATCAAATCCCCTTGACGTCAGTGAGATTACACAGTGTTCACTTCAGATACAGCATGCCTTCGGTATGCCTCCATTAGGATCTGGGAACCCTCATGCTGGGAATCTAGCACCTGCAGAGCAAAGTATCTTGCAGTTTTGGTCACGACTGCATGTTTGAAAGCACAAAACGCAACTTTGCTTTGCTCTTTGTTGACCACATGAACAGTCTGAAGCGATGGCGCTCTGATAACATTGGTCATTATGTGAATGTGCCATTGTCTCAAGAATAGACATTCAGATGTGAAAGTCACCAAAACACAGAGGAACACGAACATGTGACTCTCATACAAAGAACACTGTGCACCACCTGACTAACCATGCAGTCTGCAAGAGAGATAGCTCTTAAACCAGCAGAAGTGAGCCGTCAGCAGCTGGAAAGCCAATGGCATGCTGTATCAAAGTGCTGACGGTGCCCAGAGGTGACTCTGCAAGCAGTGAAGCAGTCCTCCTTTCAAGGAGAATCCATATCAAAACACTGGATGAGAAAAAGGCATCTACTACTTCAGCGTCATGCCAATAACAAACACACTTTTATGCACAATTCCCCACAGAAATGCAATCTTCTAAGACTGGTTTCTAATTTCTTATGCCTGCAGGCATCCAAACCCTGCCCATCCATACTTTTATACACTGTGTTGGCTACAACCTACTATAATTCATTCCAGAAAACCCAATATTGAAACTGTGCCCGCAGCTTTTAAGATGGTGTACACTGTCACGCTAATTTATAACACAAAGCGTTCTTTCTCTCCTTGCTTTCACACGTTTTAGGCACTTACCTTGATGGAGTTTGTACTGAAACGAATCTTCCTGCTGGGGGGTGGTTCATCTTCTACAGGCAGCCCAGGAATTTCCGAACAGCTGGATTCTGGTTCGTAAGTATCATCATCCTCAGCCTCCTCATCTTCATCCAGCTGACTCCCACCAGAGTCCTCTCCGATCCCACTGTACGCGCTGATGTCCACCAGGTCTGCTTCTGAGATATCCTCTCTGTAGGATTCCTCCTCGACGCAGGCCTGTCCAATTTCCTCCTTTCGTTCTGAGGGCTCATGGCTGCTGGTGGCCTCTCCATTTTCCAGAGATGCGTGAACATCCACCTGTACCAGTCTGCTCCCTGCATCTGGTGCTCCTGGTGCTGCATGCTCCTCTGGTTTGGAACCCTCTTCCGACCTGGACTTATCTAAATCTGTATCAGCAGCCACATCCTCAGATGGTTTGCCTTTGGGTCCATCAGCTTGGATGCTTGTTCTACTCTTCGGACTCCCAGGTGCAGCCTCTTGGTCATTGCGCTGAGCTCCCTCCTCTTGGTTCTCCGTCGGAGGGGAGACTCGTGTCTTTCTAGTGACAACTTTGGCGCCGATTCCTCCCACCTTGGCCGGGGTAGAAGGCAGTGGGGAGGTTGAAGACGGTCGGAGTAGGTTGTTGCGCTGGTCGGCCCGTTCAAACACTGCGCTCAATTGGCTGACTGTAGGGGATACTGCATCTGCGCGACAGTCCCCCGCATCCAGTCTGTCCAGTGACTCTGTGCTGCCGTTGAAGCGCACCACCACATCCAAACGGCTGTCTTGGAAGCCCGATGCCCGCTCTTTCTTTAACAGGATTCGATTAGTCGCAGCCTGCTTCTCCTGCAGGTGACGCTGCTCAAATATCTTCCGTGTCTCCTGTAGCTTGGAGGAGCTTGTGGTTGGTCCACGGGAGCTGCTACCATCGAAGCGGCTAACTCGCTCTGACACAGTCCCACCGAGTTTGAGCAGCGCGCTGTGATCCACATTCTCATTCAGACTGCTCGCTCTGGGGAGGGAGAGTCGGATGGACTGGTCTTTGGCCTTCGACGGATCCTCTTCTTCCCCAGGGGAACCCATTTGCATGAACATATTCTTGATGCGGTGCACATTGGAGCCGTACTTGCAGCCCCGGCCCTGGGGTCGAGGTTTCCCATCCTCGCCCTTAGCAGCACTGAAATCTTTTACCGGCTTGAGAGATTGAATTCCAGCTTCATAGGCGTTCCTGTGCGGCGATGCGCTTCTTGCTACGAGGGTGGTGCCAGTGCTGCCACTGGCTGCAGATGGGGGTTCAGTCTTCATCATGGTTAATCAAACAGCAGTAAAGACGAGCAGAAACAGCATAGCCCCTCTGCTTCTCCTCCTTGTTGTATGAATAAGAAGTGGCAGCCACCAGGATCAGTCCATATTATCAGCCGCAAAAAGAGAGAAAAACGAGAGAAAAGGAGAAAGTATGAATAAGACAGAAATAATTGACATATTTTATAAGAAATATGCAAGGAATAATTGATGATCAGAAAAATAATACACACCCGAGGTGGTGAAGCAGCCATGACACAAAGCGGAGCATTATTTTTCGAATAATTCAATGGACTGAAGTCAGTTATTCTGCTAATACTGCCACAAGACATTATTTAGATGATGTATTTCAAGACATTTGTCAGGTTTTTGTCCTTAAAACACTCTTGCATGTAGGACTAATTTCCTAAGCATCTCATCTCAAGCCTCTGTTGCTAATTGCAAAATGTCACTTTAGACCTAGTTATGGAGACTTGAGCCATAGTGCTGTTATTAATGCAGTTATTACAGAGCGAGAGAGAGAGATTAAATGCAGCTGTGTGAAGCATGTGCAAATTACCTGAATCTGTGCATTTCAAATTAATGTTCAGTAGCAGCGTCTCTACTAACAGAGACACTAAGTTTAACTGCTTCAAGCGCCGTTACCACCTCGCTTCTGAGTAATATCACATAGCTTGTTTCAGCTGTAAAACTTTTTTTGCAGTCGTAGGGCAGTTTGTTCGTTTGTATGGGAGAGATAGCAGGAAAGAGTGTGCTTTCTGTCAATAATAAAACAAAATTTTGTGGGAAAAACATGGAAATAGTCATTTTTATCCTTCTGTTTGTTATATTTCAGGGCTTGGTCAGTATCTTTGTGTGTTTTGGTTCTTTTGCTGTTGTAGGCAGTAAGGACCTTTGAAATAATGGAAATCATTTGGAAAAGTGATATAGACATGTAATGCTGTCAAGACCTGCCTGGAACTACTTTAGCCATGCATTTCCTGAAAAATAATTGCACACCAGAACGGTCAACTAATCAGATTCAAGCATCCCTGTAATATAAAAACCCTTTGAACACTTAAGCCACACTTACAAATGTATGAAGTTCATTGAAGTGGGTACAAAATAACAGGATGAATGAATTGCTTTTAAAGACAAAAGTTTTTCTGATTTGTATAAAAATGTGTCTGCTAAATTAAAAATGGAAATTCTAAATCCTAGGGCTGGACAATAATTCAATATCAATATGTATCGCGATATAATTTTTTTCAATAACGGTGATATGATTTTTAAACACATTTCCGATATTTCGATATACATTACCAGTTTCCCATACATTGATTTATTTGTGCCGTTTGACTTCGTTGAATAAACATGAGCACTGCACGTTTCAAAATCATAACACGGCGCGGGTGTTTTATATGAATGTATCTCTGAAGGGAATTGAATGTCTTCAGAAAAGTTTCGATTGCATTTTCATTTGATCTGATAAAGTAGCATTCATGAGCGTATCGTGATATCAATTTTGGCCATATCGTCCAGCCCTACTAAATCCTTTCATTTTTTTCACAACTCATTTGACAGATCAAGTTGGGCCACTATATAGGCTAAAGTACATATCAAAAACAGCACTGTACAATGCAAAAGCCTACAGGTTTAGTACCCTGATGTGGTTTTTGAGCATTCATTGACAGCTCTGCCATGGCCACACAGATGCCCCAGGGTCATAAAGTCAGAAAAGTTGCATTCTCAGACGCCTTACTTTTACAGTTTACATAAAAATTGCACAAAAACAAGAGTAAATGAAGATGCAAGACCAATTTTAAATATACAACCTTTAAATAAAGGTACAAACTAAAAATCGCAACAATATTTAAAGACTAAAGGAAACAGTTTACGCAGTGATGCGAAACACTTCCGTAGTGACTCAAATTTCCTTGAGATGCACGTTGAGTAGTGATGGGAAGTTCGGTTCTTTTCCGCGAACCGGTTCTTTCGGACAGTTGAGGTGTAGACTACAACTCACATAACACAGCTTTCAAAGCTTTTAAACAAAAATAATTCATTTTGGCAGACAAAGGTATTTAAATGAGGCTGATAGCTGTGCTTCAGAACATGGTAGCTCGTTTTTAGATGGTCTCAGATGATCATGAGCTGGCAGACCATCTTAGACCGGCACCAAAGCCTCTTAAGGTGACCAAGCTGGTTTTTATAACACATTAGCTGGTCAAAATTCAGCAAGAAAATGAGCTAGAGCCCAGCTACCATGTTACAAAACACAGCTCTCAGTTTAAGCTGGATTTTCTTACAGGGCGGGATCTCTGTAGACAACGAATTGATCTTTCTGTCAGATAAAGGAAGTCGGATCATGAACGAAACCGTAAACAGTCACAGGAACATGAGACACTTTCAAGTCATTTGATATATTAAACGGGTCATGAATTCTTGGGAAATCCCATTCAGACTGGCATGGACAGGCAGGCTTTTTGTGATCCCATGCTGCTGCTGCCAGTAGATTACTTATCTTGGCATCATGAATCAACCAGCCTTTAGGCACCGAAACATCGGCTGCCGTTTTAATACCGCTTCATGTCGAGATGTTCCTTGTGTGCAAGACAGACTATAGTATATATATCGCTAATTAAAATCGGAAACTGTAAGATATATCGTTTCTGTGTGAAGTAGTGTCAACGGATTGAAGCAGCAGCCTGTAAAAACATCACATTAGGACCCAGCGGAGCGAGCGGGCCTCGACTTCCTGCATCCTCCACCGTCCAAATAACGGTTCTGCCGTTACAATCAAACAAAAACAGCAAACGCACCACATACAACAAGTCGCGCTCTCCTTAGAAACTGGACGTACCTTGTGTCTCGTGTTCATCGAAGACTCCGTCCTTTAATCGACGGAAATTCCTTTCGTTCGCGAATCCATTGTGTCCACGAGCCGTTTTAGCCCTCTTGATCCCCCCCACGAGCTTGTGTCGCGCCTCTCTCTCTCTCTCTCTCTCTCTCTCTCTCCCATCTGATTCAGATCACAGTGTGAACACAGTCTCTGCTCCGGTGGCAGCCATGTTTTTCTGTGTCTGCCCGTCTCTATCATCAGCTTGTGTCCACTGAGTCTGTATCTGGTCAACGTGCTTCTCAGTTTCTTATCTGACACTGTGTACAGATACTCTGCCATACTCAGAGTATCACACTCTCTCTCTCTTTATATACCCTTGTGCCCTTCTCTCCTCTTCACCGCTATAGTACACAGAAGCATCGCAGGTTATTTTAACCCTTCAAGCACAACAAATAGAGATTTACACTGGTAAGGTGGCAAAAACGGAACAATAGATTTGCACAGTAGTAGCATAAAAAGGTGTAGTGGCGTAAGCTGGTAGGATATGTACATTCATTCCCGTATTAATAAGTAGTTATAGCATTTTTAGATGTAGTACAGCAAGTTAGAGATATTTTGTAAAATCATGCCATATATAGCCTACATTCATTCCCGTTTTAATAAACTACTTAGAGATCATGTGTATAGAGATTTTTTCTTTGTCTACCTTTGTTTCCTTTTCCTCTTCATTTGGTTTCTTATCTGACACTGTGTACAGATACTCTGCCATACTCAGAGTATCACACTCTCTCTCTCTTTATATACCCTTGTGCCCTTCTCTCCTCTTCACCGCTATAGTACACAGAAGCATCGCAGGTTATTACTTAGAGATCATGTGTATAGAGATTTTTTCTTTGTCTACCTTTGTTTCCTTTTCCTCTTCATTTGTTTGTTTACTTCAACACATTTAAGATATCAACACACGCTTTGGTGCTTTTAGACTTAAGCTCTGCATTTGATATGGTTGACCACAATATCTTGATTTCCAGGTTGGAGAGCTGTGTTGGATTACAGGGCAAGGTGTTGAAATGGTTTCAATCTTTTTTAACAAAAAGAAGTTTTACTCTGCCATACTCAGAGTATCACACTCTCTCTCTCTTTATATACCCTTGTGCCCTTCTCTCCTCTTCACCGCTATAGTACACAGAAGCATCGCAGGTTATTACTTAGAGATCATGTGTATAGAGATTTTTTCTTTGTCTACCTTTGTTTCCTTTTCCTCTTCATTTGTTTGTTTACTTCAACACATTTAAGATATCAACACACGCTTTGGTGCTTTTAGACTTAAGCTCTGCATTTGATATGGTTGACCACAATATCTTGATTTCCAGGTTGGAGAGCTGTGTTGGGTTACAGGGCAAGGCGTTGAAATGGTTTCAATCCTTTTGAACAAACAGAAATTTGAGTGTTTCCATTGGCCAACATCCTCACGCCCACTTGCTTGTGGGTGCCACAGGGCTCAATTCTTGGCCCTGTTTTATTTTCTATATTTATGCTACCAATGGGTGCTATCTTTGAGAAATATGGAGTGTCCTTCCACCTATATGCGGATGATACTCAGCTGTATTTTCCCTTGCAGCATAAAAGTAAAGAATTATTAGGACCTCTGTTGGATTGTCTAAATGAATTACAAATATGGTTAAAGCAGAATCTTCTAATGTTAAACGAGAACAAAACAGAAATCATTTTGTTTGGTTTAAAGTCATATGAAGACTGTGCCCTTCACTTTGGTCATCTCTCTTCCTACTTTACACCCTGTGCTAAAAATCTTGGTGTTCTTTTTGATTGCAACCTGGGTTTTGAGAAACAAATTAGTGCAGTGGTCAAATCAAGTTTCTTCCACTTACGGCATTTATCAAAAATCTAATCTTTACTCTCTGTTAAACAGTTTGAACAGATTATTCACTTGTTTGTTCTATCTCGTTTAGATTACTGTAATTCACTATACTATGGTATAAGTCAGTCCTCTATAATGCGTTTACAGATGGTCCAAAATGCTGCTGCCAGATTGCTGACAGGCAGACGGAAGTTCGATCACATCTCGCCCATTCTTATTTTACTAAACTGGTTACCAGTCAAATTTAGAATTACTTTTAAAATGTAATTTTTTTTTTTATCTCTGCATAATCAAGCCCCATCATATCTCTCTATTTATAAACCAAATAGGTCACTAAGATCCAGTAATCTTGGTCTCCTCTCTGTTCCTAGATCGAGGCTCCATTGCAGAGGTGATCAAGCCTTCGCTGTTGCTGGTCCTAGTCTATGGAACAAATTACCAGCTTCTATTAGAGCTGCACCCTCTTTGCCTGTTTTTAAATACCTGCTTAAAAAAACATCTTTTCTCAATAGCTTTTATCTAGCCATGTAAATTGTTTTGTTATATTGTGTTTTGATGTTTTGTGGTTTCTTATGTTTTATTTTAGCTGTATTGTACAGCACTTTGGATCAACCGGTAGTTGTGTGAAAGTGCTTTAACTTTGGATCAACTGGTAGTTGTGTGAAAGTGCTTTATAAATAAATAAAGAAAGAAAGAGATTTATTGTCTCTGTTCTGTATTTCAGTACTATGGCAACATTGTCATTATTGATAGCTAATAATCATTTGTACATGCAGTATAGCCTACTTAAATTGGGTATATACTATATATATATATATATATATATATACGTGAATTCACCCCATTTTATTTTATTTCAATTGTACTTTGTCTCCTCTTAATTTCTTTAGCATTTTATATAATTATTTAAGTCCTGTTTATTTTGGTAACAGCTTTGGTGACACTGAAGACAGACAGACAGACAGATAGATAGACCTTTATACAGCAGTCAGTGATCTACTGGTTTAAACTCGAGGCAGCAAAAAAAAAACTCGTGTCAGTAACTGTTAAGTTGTTACTACACGTGTCCTTTGAATCTCTGAATTAAACCACTGCAATGCACGAAGGCCTGCAAGACACGCTGACCCATTTTAGCGACATTTTAGCCTCTTGTAGGTAGCTGCTGGCGTGTAGAGGGCGACATCGTGTGGTGAGTCTTAGTAGTTCAGATTATCCCTGACCATTGTACAGACTGTAGCCAGGACACCGGTATGGAATCCCACACCCTGGGGAGTCTTTGTTACACTTCCAATCTGTGATTGTGGAACCGTGTCTGTGGGCACTGAATATGGACTGAAGATGAAGTGGGACAACTTTTTCAGCTCCATTTGCATTGCAATTTGACATGCTGCTGCTGCAAATAATTTTGAATTAAAGGATAAAGGAGATTTTTCCTCAGCCTGATGTTGCACACTGCAGGCACAAAAGATAGACAGATAATCTGTGACAATCATGTTTGTAGGATGGTTCGGGGGCTATGAGTTGGCTATCAAACATTAATAGTTGAACCCACACTGCCATTTGTAGATAATAACCTCGCCTTAAAAACTCTAATTTGTAACTGGAATAGTACCAAAAAAAAAGTTATTCTTTTTGGAACAGCGTCATCTATAGTGTAACAAATCTAGTTATATTATACTAAATAGCGATTCGTATAGCAAGAAAAGGTTAATTTAACAATATACCATATAAAGAAGCTAATTTAAACAGTGGAACTCTCTCATTATGTTCCTGGTGAATGCAGAACAGTAGGAGCAGATGATTGAGACTTCTCTTGGGACTCAGAACAGCTGAACGCTGCACTTCCAATCTATTTGCATCTAACATCTGTGTGGTGCCGCAGCAGCACCTCCATTGCATATACACTGCCTGCCACGGTGACCCATATTTCCTCTGATATTAATCTCACTACTCACATAGCACACACAGACTCCCCTGCGCTGTGCTTTTATGCATGGGTGTGTTCAGTGAACTAGGATCACACTAGCTATTGTTTGTGTGTTTGACATTGATCACACTCAAACAGAATCACAGTGAGCCCCAGATACTCAACTGCTCCGCATGCATCATTGCTCAGTTCTTTATTTTGACGAGGTGGGTAAATAGCCTGGGAGTTGGATTCTCTCTCTAAAGTCTTCGTCATTAAAATTCTGAATGGCCATTGGCTGGGCTGGCTTGATTTGGTTTGTGTTTGGATTCTTTGTTGTTGTTGAACTGGACTAATATTTGTGTGCATGTATGTTTTACTTATTGCCTTTTCTTCATAATCCTAGTTATAAATCTGCCTCAACGCAACTACAGTCGTAATCAAATTATAGTACATACAAGCTTTACTGAAGATCCAGGATTTTATAAAAATTGCATCTGTAACTTTTTACTGGTATATTAAAAGTGATCGTGCCAATATATAATGTAATATTTTTGAGCTATAGGATTTTTTTTATAACACAGCATAATTATTCAACCCCTATTCAACATTGCTGTTTTTAAGTCACTTATTTGTATGGTGGGGAACAGAATTGTCTTAAAACACAATTCAGCCTTTAGAAACTGAATTAGCTCGAGCTGTTACACATACATAAACTACGCTCATGCATGTGTTGAACTTGAGTAGCAAATATGGCAAAGTCAACAGAGCTCTCCCAAAATCTATGTAGAAGAAATAGTTTTATTACATTAGAAAGTCTAAGGCTACATGAAGATTTTCAAGATACTAAAAGTTCCTAGACACAGCTGGCAGCCTTATTCTTGTTGTACCCTTGAAGTTGTTTAAGAAAAAAAGCAGAATATCATAAAATGTTTGACCAGAGCAACTGAGGAAAAACCTGCATTGTACAGCCAAAGACTTGCAAGATGACCTGATGAAAGGACAGAGAAACAGTTCAATGCAGAGTATAAGAACACCACTAGACAAGCATGGCCTTCATGTTGAGGCATCTTGATGAATGCCACTCTTGATCAAGAAGAGCATAAAAGGCCGACTTGAACATGCTAAAATTAATTTGGATAGACCTGTGACATTCTGGAAGTGATGTGATGTGATCAAACTGGAACTTTTTGGACTCATAGATCAGCAGTACATTCGGTGCAAAAAAGGAAAAGCTTATGAGCAGAACACCATCTCCATGATAAAACATGGAGGTGGACCAGTACTATTATGGGGGTGTTTTGCTGTTGAAGGAAGTGCACATTTTGACTGTATGAAGGACATCATGGATTCCCTGAAGTATCAGGCCAAGAATTTAGATGCCTTTGATGCGGAGACTGAAGTTGATAATCAATGGTCTTTCCTGCAGGACAGCCAACCCAAAGTATACATCCAAATCTACTTAGGCTTGATTCAGGGATCAGTCATAGGATGTTCTTGAGTGGCCAGTTCAGTCCATGTTTAATTCTCATTGAAAATACTTGGTTGAATCTGAAGAAAGCAGTGGCAATGTGAAAACCAAAGATTATCAGTGATCTGAAAAAGCTTTTTCAGGTGAGGAATGGGCCAAGACTGCAATAAGAGGTGACCGGAGCTTCAAAGCACTTACAAGCAGCGTTTATTGGTGGTTTTAAAGAATATTCTGCAGGAAATTTGAGTTTTGGGGGTTGAATAATTTTGAACATGAATGTTTAGAGCCCATTTGATTTTTTTTTAAATTATTGTTATTATTCAAATGTATGTTCTCAGAATCTCTTAAATGTGTATTAATAAACTTTCTCTAATACATTACTAATACCTTTGTTGAACTGTTTTCATAGAACTTTGTTCTCAGCAGCAAAATGTCTTGCAAGTCAATAATTTTGATTGCAACTGTATTTAGGGGAGACTGGGGCAAGTTGTCACACTTACATTAAATGCGGTATTGTTTACATTGATTTGAATATAATATTTTTTTCTGGAAAATTATATCATCATCACCATTTATAACAATTCACTGAACAGCACAAATGGAACACGTAACTACAGTAGCTTAATAAACGAGTAACAATAATCCGCTGTACACGCACCTGACATTGTAGCACCGTATGCTACCTTTCTTGTCACAATGTAATGGTATTTCTGCGACTTAAATCGTCAACTTTTTTGACTTACGTCAAAATATGACTGTCAATTTGACACATTTGGTCGCCTGGTCCTATAAATCCGCAGTTTTCTTCTATTGTTGTTCTTTCGGCTTCCACAGTCTTTTCTTTTATCGCCTCCTCCCACTTCACCTCCTCATTGCACAAACTTTCAACTGACTTTTTCCTAAGCCTCGCCTTAAAACGCTACTGACTAGTATGGCTAGTACGAGTACAGTCGTTCAGACCGTCTTAATCTTCATTTTATTAAGAATTTAACATCAGTAGCTGTTATAACAACATCCTACTATTTTGCAGGCAATTTAAAAACGTTGGACAGCATTTGCTCTGTAAGGACAAAGAACATAGTGGCATGTGATGATAAATCATCAAGCCCTGCTGAGATTTTGAGCCAACAGTTTTCCCTCTCACCGTACTTTATGCAATTCTTACTTCTTGAAATATATGTACACCAGATGCTAATATCTTTAATATTTAATGCCTATGTTCATGATTTATATGGGGAGTATTAACTGAATTCAGAAATAAAACTCATGTCCAGTGTACAGATTCATTAAATTAACTCCAAAAATGAAAGAAAAAAACATGCATCAGTTGTGCAAATTATTGTGCTACTGATTTCTACATCTTAGGCTCCAGTTAAATAAAGCCCACTGTTTCACTTTATTTTGGTTTGCAAAGTTTTCCCCTTCCCCAAAGAATTTCAGTGTTTTAAAGTGAAAGTGAGTGCATGGATTCAGTTAGCAGTTCAGATATTCAAGCCTCCCACTACGGAAGCCTCTGCATACCTTACGAGATACAATGGCCCTGTTGTGTCCTACAGGACTACCACCTTCACCACCTACCACCTTTAGTATTTGAGTGCACACTGCAGCAAAAGAGTGGTTCTCCTTAGTTGAAGCTCCACAAAAAAAGTAATGCTTTTAAATAATTTTAAAAATTTAAAAACAAATACGTTCACAGCAACACTTCTCTCAGCGTTCAAGTCAAAGGAATTGTCTGCTTGCAGATTATACTATCCTTGACAGCTCGGATGACCAATGATTTCAACAGATGTGGAGTTTGGAGCATCAACCAACACAATGAGTCTTGATCTGGACATTCACCAATGGATCATTTGGATTATCAGTGGAATATTATGCACATCATCTGGGAGTGCAACGATTTAAAGACTTTTTTTTGTCATTGCAAGTACCTCAAGGCTGCACCAGGTTAGTACACGCAAGCTTCAGAACATGCAGTTTTTCCTAACATATGCTAACTTTAAATTACTTTGCTCAAAGGATGCCTTGTTCAGTAGAGTTTGCTTAGTGGTATAAAAAACTACTTTTGTAACAACAGCATGAAAAAAAAAACACCAAAAAGTATCAGACATTTCTGAGATTTTCTTTAATCTTTCCTTTTAGTCAAAACAACTGTAACAGGTGCCAGCTGTGCTTCATTCAAGTCCATTGGGCAGTCAGGGATGAGTCAAGATCACTTCTGACAAACATAAGGTCGACCACTTAACATGCTTTATTTCAGCATTCAAAATAATTAAAAACATCTCAAATTATTATACATATACAAAATAGGTACAGATCCTCTTGTTTTAACCCCCCTATTGTGTTCTTCTCTCATAATTTTAGGACTTTTCTATTTGATTGCCTGTTTTACACTTAAAAAAAAAAAACCTGGGTGAAAACAAAAATTCTGAAGGATGGGAAAGATGTGGGGATATAGCTGGAAGCAACTGGACAACATTGGGGGGATGTTTTGTAAAGAAACCAAAAGGCAACAACCAAAAAGTGTCAAAAGTGTTTGGAAAATAAAATCAGACTCCACCTGCTTATTCTACACTTGAAAAGACTGCGTGCATCACAGCTACAGTACTGCTTCTTAACAAAAGCTCTGCTGTCTGGCTCTTAGCTTACACTTCAGAAAAAGAGGCGTCTGTTACAACTGGGCAGCAAGATATTAGGATTTCTTTAGCACCAAAGGCCCTGTGAGCAAAAGCAACGAACAATACATTACTTTTAGAAAAAGCAAAACTCTAGAATTTCTTGCTGACAGGACCTCATGAGGAAATAGCACCTTTACAGCTGTCACTTGATCCTTTAACCATACTTCTGCCAAGTAAAATCCTGACCTGGTGTTGGTCAACACTGGGAATTGCAGGTTTCTTTTTTGAGGTAGCCATAAGACATCAAAACAAAGTTGAACCCCTGTCTCTACTAGATGTACTTTGTGTGACTCTTGAGAGGAACGTTGGCATTCCGCACCCGGTAGTCCTAATGGGTATAACACAAAGACACTTAAATGTCATTTTACAGATTTATTTAACACCTGAACATGGTACAAAGCATTTGGTTTTGCTCTTTCATTGTCCTTCCTCAGTGGTTGAAAAAAAAGTCACTTGCATCAATGATGTTTCTTTAAACTCCAGGGGGATTTTACACTTTATAAGTATATATTATTTTCTTGTTGCCAGTGAAACAAATGAGTCTTCTAAGGTATCCTCAGTGTGGGTGGTGACAAAATAGTGGTCCAAAAAAAGCCTGATAACACACAACCACTGTCTTCTGAAGCGCAGGTCTAAGCAAGTGGACCATTTGGACAGCCAAATTGAATTCTAGGGTTTGATTTTAATGCATAGAAAAGATTTTAGAGAGATGATTGCTAGAAAAAAAACACACACGCACACAAACAATCTCAAGTCCAGATTTCTTTTTTACAAGAAGCAGACTGGGCCAACTTCAATGCCAAATTCCTGATTAGGTGCACCAATGTCCATAGGGGCGATGTCAATAATAGGCAGACGGGATGTTTTTGTTGTTTTGTAGTCGATGACTGTCTTGCCCCACGCACCGGTGTGCGACTGAAGAGATGTAAAGAAGGAAAACAGGGATAGAATTAGAGCCTATACAAAACCATTACTTACGTTGCTATAATAGCAAACATTTATGTTGATAAATTAGTAATCGCCTTTTTCCCTTGAATTAATACCTTTCTGCTTTTATTCTCATATGGAAGTTAATTCAGATACAAGCTACTGCTAAATGAATAATCACATTGAAGTCATGCTTTGATATTAACTGTAATTTTAACAGTTTATCTTGTTTTAGCTCCCACATTCAAATGAACTGTACTGTTGTTGTATTAAGACTGTGTGATGGTCACATCAAGAAAAGATAAAGATGGAGAACTCACCGTGCAACCATCCTCAGTGACACTGTATGTGAAGCGGCTGTTGCCCTCTGCTCTGATCTCGATCTCGTTGGAGCCCTGCAGCAGAAGAGCCTTCTTCAGGTTGCCAGAAGCCTGGTCCATGTATGCAATGCTGTTCTTGCAGTGGTATGTGATATTCTGGGAGGCCTCAGTGGACATGAGGCGCAGGAAGGTGAGCTGAATGTTGACATCCTCAGGCTTAGAGCCCTCGCTGCCATACTCGAACTGTAGGTTTTGAGAGGAAAGCACGAGAAAATCAGCAAATATAATAAACAGACATATGGGGACAAAACATGTTATACTTTTTGGCCTAGTTGACATCCTCACCTGGAAGCCATCGGTCATGGCCTCTCCGAACCAGACGTGCTTCTTCTCCTTGATGTTCTTGCTTGTGTACCAGTTCTTCTTGGGAATGGAGGACTCAGCTGGGTAGACGCAGGTCTCACCAGTTTCCATGTTGCAGTAGACCTTGATGGCATCCTGGTTGCAGCCCTGGTCAGGGTCAATCCAGTACTCGCCTGTGTTTTATTTTTGAGAGGAATGGGATTAATCTAGGCATGGCAATGCAGGGTGAGAAATGTAAAATTACTTTCGAATTTAGGAATTTAGAATTGTCATGCAATGGAGAAAGGGAACGTACCGCTCTTCCAGTCTGGGTGCGCATCACATTGGCATCGTCGGCACGGTATGAGCGGAAGGGATCAGGGGCCTTCTCCTGTGGCTGGGCAATGAAGCCGATATCAAATCCACCACCAGAGGGTCCAGGAGGTCCAGGGAGTCCGGGAGGTCCAGGAGGTCCCTATACCACAGAGTAAACCAAATATGGAGGGGTTAAAGTGTATATTTGGTTTTCTGGGTTCACTGTGATGTAGAAAAGGAAAGAATCACCCACAGAGGGTCCAATTTCTCCACTGCGACCACGGGGTCCAGGAGGTCCAATGGGTCCAGGAAGTCCGCTCATACCATCCTTACCAGTGGCTCCAGCAGATCCAGCAGGGCCCTATTAATACAAAAACAGAAACATCCAAAACCAATCAGAATGATCTCCGAAACACTCAGGCCACTGTGTATATGCTTCAAATTCTTGATCAAAGCAGAGAAATGATGGAAGTACAAATATGCAGCAAAATGTATGTTATAATAATTACTATAATAATAATACATACTCTAGGTCCAGCGGCTCCAGAAGATCCAGCAGGTCCAGGCTCTCCAGAGGGTCCCTAGGGACAAGAATAAAAAAAAATTAAAAACAGTATTCAAGCTACAGATATTATATTCGAGATTTATAGAGTCACTTACAGGAGGTCCTGGGGGTCCCTGCATTCCTGTAAATCCTCTGTGTCCCTTCATGCCTCTCTCACCAGCCTCACCAGTCTCACCCTTGTCTCCACGAGCTCCAGAGGGTCCCTGGATAAAGACATTACACCTCAGATGACAATACAGTGTGTATCACAGATGGAGCTACACATAGACTCTGGTTATGCAATTCTTTTGCGGTTTGAGTCGGGACTTACAGCGGGTCCACGGGGACCAGCAGGGCCAGCAGCACCGGCAGGACCAGCAGGACCCTAAGAAGAAGAAAAAACAGATGAGTTACAATACTCCCATGCTTTTTAAGCCATCAACAGTTCATTTCCTTATTAGAGATGGGACACTTACAGACTCTCCACGATCACCAGTCTTTCCAGCAGGGCCAATGGGTCCAGGAGAACCAGAAGGTCCAGGAGCACCGGGGGTGCCAGCAGTGCCAGTCTCACCACGGTCACCCTATGTTGGGAGCACAACAGGGACACAATCTCAGTCACAAAGCCTAATGTGAGATGGGAGGGGTTTGACTTGTATGGGAAACTATGAACACTGCAGCTCACCTTGGGGCCAGAAGCACCATCACGTCCAGCAGAGCCCTCATTACCTGGAGTACCCTAATGTAAAGCAAATTACATAATGTCAACACGGCAGGATGATATTTATGGTTTCATTTATGTAGGTAAGTATTGTTATATAGGTGTACATCCTCACCTCACGACCAGGCTCACCAGGAGATCCAGCCAATCCAGGGGGTCCCATGGGTCCAGGAGGTCCACGCTCACCAGAGGGACCAGATGGTCCTTGTTTGCCAGGCTCTCCCTAAATGGCATGATGAAGACAATAATGAAAGCTGACTGATGCTTAAGATCCATCAAGATAAACACTTGAAAGTAGATACTGGCTGAATAAAACAAACATAGCCCATGATTGTATAGAAGTACATGAGATATTTGTGTGCTGTGGAGGAGTTCTTGTGTTCAATTGAGACATCAGAGAAAGTAAAACAAGGGAGCCAGAATACTCACAGATGGGCCGGGGAGACCAGGGAAACCACGCTCGCCTCTCTGGCCAGGGAGACCAACAATACCACGCTGACCACCAATACCTTGAGGTCCAGGGATACCAGCAGAGCCCTGTAAGATTAGTGGAATATTAGTGATTTTAAATAGGAGGTACATCACAGACAATGTCTGTATTTACTTATGCCTTTATTAGACAGTGTGTGTTTTTATAACTAGAAATTGTTACAGCTAAATATCTACCAATCTATACTAGCATGGACATCAGACATGGACAGGAAGACAGAGGATGAATCGTATTTCCCTCTAGCAGAGAATGAACTATGACAACCAGTTGTGCTAACAAGCACACAGTGGTCTTAGAATTGGACTCTACCAATAATCAATTAAATAACTACCACTCGTGGTAGACAGAAAACTCACAGTTGAAGAACAATTATTCAAGTTATAAATTGGATGTAAGATAACTATGAAAATTAAGACTAAAGCACATAAAACAAAACAAATCCATAAATTAAGAAAAGAATACAAATATCCAAATCTTTTTTAAACCATCTTGTCTTTTTTGGTGCGGATGACTTGTGAAGAAGAAACTGAGAGGCCAGTAATAAGGAGATACAGAGTTTACTGATCACTATGCAAAAAGAACTATAGTAAAGCATGTCTGCAGTTTGCCAACAGGCATCGCATTTGGCCAGTTGCGATGTTGGAAAAGATTTTGTGGTCAGATGAGACCAAAGGCAATATGTTGTGCATATATAACACTGCCAGCGTGAGGATTTGAGAGAACTGGCTAAGACATCCTAATAATTTTGCAAGACACTGCAATTGATTCCTAAATACTCTGGTTATGGTCATGTATTTGACAAGGCCAGAAGATAAAGCAATGATGTTATTGATTGGCAGGAAAGACTTACGGAAGGACCCTCAGCTCCAGGATTTCCTTTCTCACCAGGGGCACCAGGTGGTCCAGCAGCACCAACTTCACCAGTGCGCCCAGCAGGTCCAGTCTCACCACGGTTACCTTTCTGGCCCTCTTTACCAGGGACTCCAGAAGGTCCTGGGGGTCCAGCGTTTCCCTAATACAAGAAGCAATTAGAGAACCATTGTTAATTACGGAAGAGGATCACTGTTACTACTTTGATGTATTAATTAGTACTATCTATATCAGTGTTGTAGAGATTCTTACAGCAGGGCCGGGAGGTCCAACTCGGCCAGCAGCACCAGGGAAGCCAGTAGCACCCTTAACAAAAATGTAAAAATGGATTAGCTCAATTGTAATATGTCATTTACAAGTGTCTTAATGTAATTTTTAATTGTGGCAAGTACAAACAGAACACCCAAAAATATCAAATTAAGGAAGTCATACTCACTGGAGGACCAGCAGCACCACGGGCACCCTTGGGTCCAGTAGCACCAACAGGACCCTGTATAGCACAAATCATTTTGCTTAATAATGTGCGTGTCAACATTAGTAAACAAACTATGACTACGTGGGTCAAATGTTATAAACCTAAAAGAACACAAGTCTGTTTTGGGTGAGAAGATTATCTCAGAAGATGATCACACCTGAGGTCCGGGGGCACCAGTCGCTCCGGCAGGTCCTGGAGCACCAGCGTCACCCTTTGCACCATTGTCTCCAGACTCTCCCTTAGCACCAGGCAGACCATCGGCACCCTGTTGGACAGAAATGAGATGTTTGAAATAAGAACTGGCCTGTAATAGTTAATCATTTTATAAGGATATATATACTAGAGTTTGTTACTCACAGGAGGTCCAGCAAATCCAGCGGGTCCAGAAGGACCAGTCTCTCCACGCTCACCCTATTTGTAATTGGAGAAAAGGTGATGCTATCAAATCATTTTAATGGTCAATTTTATGTAGCATATGTGTCTATCTAAAAGTCAAGCATTATGCTTACAGGTGGTCCACGGGCACCATTAGGTCCAACAAGTCCAGGAGCACCAGTCTCTCCCTATGTTAAAATACAAATGATAGAACCATGGTTGAATATGTTCTTCAACTTTGTGAGATGGATACATTATGGATATATGGAATCTAGCTCAAAAGACACTCACCTTGTCACCAGGAGCTCCAGCAGGTCCAGGAGGTCCAATTGGTCCGGTCATACCTCGGATGCCATCTTTACCAAGGGCACCATCAACACCCTTGGCACCTTGGTCACCCTGGGATAAGAGATTATCATGAGTTTTGAGAGTTTGCGCTATTCAGTTCAGTTGCTCAGTTTGCTGTGCATTAGTACTGATTTTTTTTTTGTCATGAAAGTTCAGAAAAGTGCGTCATTAGTACTCACTCTGTCACCCTTAAGACCTGGCAGACCAGCAGCACCACGATCACCAGGCATTCCTTGAAGTCCGGGAGGACCCTGAGCACCAGGGGCACCTGGGGCACCAGCATCACCCTAAGGAAGCCAGAAAAGGTCATCTTAATGTTAATACATATTCATCGGTACAGTGCTATCGTACACTTCAGGAGTTTGATTCACATTGAAGAGTATCCTTCAGATTTTGCTTAGCCAATCGCTGTAAATGTGTGGTATAACATCAAGGACAGGTGAGACTCACCTTGGCACCATCGTTACCAGCTGCACCTGGAGAACCACGGGCACCAGCAGGACCAGCAGAGCCAGGGGCACCACGCTCACCAGGGAATCCTCTGTCGCCCTGGGTAGAAAGTACAGAGAGATACCTTCAGTTCTTGTCCATCTAATATATCTAGAACTACAGTCAGCTTTATGGACTATGTGCCATTTGGCGATCATGCTGTAGATACTCACTCTGGATCCAGCAGGTCCAGAAGCTCCAGCCTCTCCAGGAAGACCCTGTAATACGCCAAAGAAGGCAAATTAGTATTGTATCACCTGGCCTTTTATTTCTAATGAGGGTTTCTGAGGGACTTAATTACTGTCGCCCATAGCCCAAAAAGTAAGTGTCCTTGCAAGCATTGATCCCCATAAATCCCCTCTAATTATTTTATAAAATAAGAAAAGTTCACAGCCTTAAGTTTATACAAAATAAACAGCAGTTTCATATCAACACACTGGCTAGCAACTTACCTGCTCACCAGATTTGCCAGGCTCACCAGTAGCACCCTGAGGTCCTGGCAGACCCTGTCATTCAGATGCACAACAAAGAGATGAGCACACCAATGTCAATGCCTATAACAAAAATATTGTGCTTTGGGTTGAGTAAGATGAGAAACTCACTCACCTGGAATCCAGGAGGACCAGCAGGTCCCTGTTCACCTCTCTCACCTGCAGGCCCCTATTCATAAAAAAATATCATGAGACACTATAGCCAAAGTGGTTCATTAGAGTAACTATATTTCAATGTTATAGAGAGCATTCTTATAATGTAGTAGATTGAAGCTGAAGATGTATTTTAATGCTGGCCAATATATAAACATTTTGAAACTGTTTGTATGATGGATTAGCAGGACCGCTGTTTTAAATGAGACTCAAATAACATTAAATGACAAGAAACCATATGGCAAATGCCTCATGGGATACTGAAGTGCTACTTACAGCAGGTCCAGAGGCACCAGGGGCACCAACATCACCATCCTTACCGGGAGCGCCCTATAGTTCAATACAAAACACAATAGAATAAGCAACGTACTTCAACACTATGAACCAAACAAGCTTGACTGTGGTGTTGAAAACAAAGGCTATAGCTACTTACAGTGGCACCAATAGCACCCATCACACCTCTCTCACCGGGTTTGCCAGCCTCACCCTGTACAGGGGCAGAAGTAAACATCAAATTTAGAAAGTGTTTAGTAACAATTACACATTGAATCTGACCTCAAAAGTTTCTTATACATAGAAAAGAAACTATCAAGGCCTGATTGTCTGCAGTTTGGCTATACAGTGAGCATATTGACTTTTTAAAGAGAATAAGGATCACTCACAGCAGCACCCTTAGGTCCAGGGAATCCCATGACACCAGGCTGTCCTCTGGCTCCAACGGGGCCAGGTGGTCCAGGGCGGCCATCTTGTCCAGGAGCACCCTGTCAAAAATGAAACAACAAGACCTGTGAGTTTGATCCTTACCCACCCTGTATGAATCTCTGGGTATGCAGTGTGTGCATTTTTGACTGTGCTGTAATTAAACATCTCAGCAAGAGTTTTCATGGATATTATTTTGTACAGTATGGGAATAGAGTGAATGTGGAGCTGATGGTTTGTTGTGACATTATGGAGAATTGTGTGGGCACTCACAGAAGATCCGGTCTTTCCATCAGGTCCAGGGCTGCCAGGGCTACCAGTCATACCCTGTTATGAAAATGAAGATAGAGGGGGTCAAACAGTACTCACTGGCACATTAACACACAAACAATACAACCAAACGACGTATAGCATTCCTGCTGATATCAGCATTCTCACCTTGGATCCTGGCATACCAGGTTCACCATTGCGACCAGGCTCACCAGTGGCACCCTTAGGTCCAACAACTCCAGGGCCTCCACGCTCACCAGTGGCACCCTGTTATTAAGATCAGGGAGTGTTGCATTTATCATGATCACTATTTACCATTGGTGAAATATGGTGTATGAATACGATAATACCCTAAACAGATTTTGCACAAATTTTCTGCTTAATTGCAAACTTAAAAAGGATGTTTTATATCTTTTGTAGACTCACCTTAGGACCTGAAGATCCATCAGCACCAGGGAAACCACGAGCACCAGGAGCACCCTGCACAAAAAGGTGTGCAACTGTTATGGTCAGGGCCACTTTTAAGGTTCTTACAAACTGAGAGGTTTGATGTGGGTACATACACGTTCACCAGGGGATCCGCGGACACCGGCAGAACCGGGCTCACCACGAGCTCCTCTCTTGCCTTCCTCACCAGGGGGGCCAGGGGGACCCTGAACTCCTTGGGCACCCTGGGTAAGCACACAAGAAATAGAAGATAGTTAGAAATGATTGTAAAAGTCAACAGCAGAGTTGCTTTATGAAAAATCAGTACTAGGGCAATGATTTTTTTTTTGCAAAGCTGTAGAACGTTTTACCAAAATTTGCATGATAAGATTGATAAGTGAAGTTTATACTTACAGCCTCTCCCTTAGCACCAGCCTCTCCTTTGGCACCAGAGGCACCGAACTCACCCTGTAAAACGAACAAAAATAGTCAAGAAGAAATAGGCAGAATGGCCTTTTCTTTAAAAAAACAAAAAAAATAAATGTGTAAAATAATTCATATTTTGTGTAAAAAATGTAGCTCATGATCTGAGAAGAAATGGACACTTACAGTGTTACCCTTAGGGCCAGGGGCACCAGCAGCTCCAGCAGCCCCAGAAGGACCACGTGGTCCAGGGAAACCAGGAGCACCAGCAATACCAGGAGCGCCCTGCAGGTGGCAGCAGAGAGAAACAAATATGTGGCTGTTAATTTACTAACACCAATGTTCTAATTCAGGAAGAGGAAATATTTTGACCTAAATATGAACTTTTATCAAGAAGAAGAGCATTTGTTTATAAAGATTAAGACAATACTTACAGGAGCACCCTTAAGACCAGGGGCACCATCAGCTCCATTGTTACCCTACAGCAGAAGGAATGCAAAATGGACAAGGTGGTCAACTGAAGTGTGCAAATAATTGAAATTTAAGACTTAAGATTAAAACATTTAGATAATTTAATATATAAAAAGATTCACTCACAGCGGGTCCAGCAGCACCAGCAGGTCCAGGATTACCAGGCTCACCACGGGCTCCCTGGGGTCCCTCTGCACCACGAGTTCCCTGAGCACCAACCTCTCCCTGGAGAAAGCAAAGTGTAAGAGTGAGATGGGTCAACATAACACCTATGAAGTGCCACAAGTGTCATCTCAACCCTCAATGTAAATGCAGTGTTGTGTATTTCTATGATGCTAGAGGAGAAGTTTGTTTGTCAGCTTTGACCTACTAACACATTTACTAGGCATTAATTATTGGCCTACATAATTGAGGTGACTGACAGCTGCCAAGAACATCTGGCTCCATCAGCCCAATTACAGTACCACCTTGTGGTACTCTAGCTCCTGTTTGGTTTGATTTGGAATTTGAACGTGTAATCATGTGAACAAATGAGAGTATTTTTTTTTACCTTAGATCCAGGGCCACCAGGGAATCCTGGGGGACCAGCAGGGCCAGTTGGGCCCTAAAAATAGAGAGAGAAAATAAATTATAGTTAGCTTAAGTTATCCTTTTTACTCATATTTAAAAAAAAAAAAGGCTACTTACAGGAGGACCAGCAGCTCCGGCGGCACCATCGTTACCACGAGCACCCTGAAAAATTGAGAAATCATTATTACTTGGAACTTATTCATTATTAATATTAATCTGTGCACTGCAGAGGACAGGATTTAGGCAAATGCTGTGTTTTATGTTTGAGGGATGATCTCAACCCATTTAAAATGATTCAAAAAGCGCAGTACGTCTTTCTAGAATGATGTTAAGTTATCATGAAATGCTCAATATACATGTCTGTCCTTTGTTTGCAAAGTACACAGTCACATCTAAAAATAACATATAATACTGCGACATAAGTCATATATTACAACATTAGTAAAGTTTATGCTTATAAGGTTACTTACAGCAGCACCAGGAGGACCAGAGCGGCCTCTCTCGCCAGGCAGACCACGAGGACCCTGGGAAACAGTGTTACATTAGAAAAGAACTACAAATGTACAGTAGATGTTGAAAATAGGATGAAATTCATGAAATTTCTTACCATAGCTCCAGGAGTTCCGTTCTCACCAGGGGCACCAGGCTCACCCTAATGGGTAAAGCAGCATGTTAAGTGGTCTGCTTACTTTGAACTTCAGGTTTAAAGTGTGATATTGATTTTAATTCTGATTTCACCTTAGGTCCAGCAGGGCCAGTATCTCCCTTAGCTCCATCTAGACCGCTGAATCCCTGAGGTGCAGAGGATGCACATAAAGATTTGAGTAATGTGGACATAAGTTGATATTCATCAAGCAAGAGGAATCACTTCCTAGATCTAGAGAACTCACTCTGTGTCCCTTGATGCCTGGAAGTCCAGGGGTTCCGGGGAATCCACGAGCACCCTAGATAGAATGAGAAAGATGTTACAGCCAATTCCCTTTCTCATACACTACAATGCTACTAACTAACAGAATGCAATTATAAGAAATCCTGTTAAGAGTCCTTTTGGCAACACTCACCTGTGCGCCAGAGGGTCCGCGCTCACCAGGGCGACCGGGTTTGCCAGACTCACCCTACAGAGTCAGAGAAAAACAGATGAGAAAAGAGAAACAAACTGAATGAAAAGAATGAGGCATTGTTTAAACCCTAAAGTCTTTTTAGAATTAATTATGAGAAATGTTTGCTATTTCACTGTCACTGTTTCCCAATGTCTCTTTATCCGTTTCTGTTTGACGTTGATAAATACAATGCTTGGTTTCCTGAAATCTTAGTTGAAGCATTTTACAGCACTATAATTTAAGTAAACTGCATAAACTAATGAAGTTTTTGTCTTTTAAAAGCTCCTTATATCTTCTTAAACTAAAATGTTGTGGTTGTGTAGATAACTTACATCCTCTCCGTTCTTTCCAGGGGGACCAGCTGAACCACGGGGACCCATTGGACCCTAAACCAGGAAAGCAGCAGAAAAAAAAATCTAGGTTAGGAAAAAACATTTGTGTCCATGTGAGTGTATTTATGTGTTTCACATTGTGAAACACATAAATGAGTGATGAGTGAGTCACACTTTGGCGGTGTGAATTATCCAGAAGAAAAAAAAAGTGAAATATCGACTAAAATGACTTTTTGCTTGCCAGTAAGAGACCTCTGTTATACATATGCACAGACTGGATGTCATGCATCCACTCAGTGGGAAAAAAAAAATCTAGGTTGCTGAAGATTCATGAACCCTGTACCCTTTTGACCTCATTTGACCCAAATGAGTCAAACTGGATTCACATATGTAAGTATGTGAGAGTAATATTAATTTGGGTACATGTAAGCAGGTACAATTACCTCAGATTTCTAGGGTTTAACTGCTAACTCTTCTTAAAAAGTCAGTAGAGGACATTCAATCAGGTTTTTTGTTATTTATGCTATTTGCTAAGAAAAAGCTGTGTGTTTGAGTTGATGAGTGCAGAGGTGATTTGTTTAGATACTCACAGGAGAACCAGCCTCACCAGACTCACCAGGGGGACCAGTGAATCCTTGGGGTCCCTGTAGAGGAGGACAAAGGGCACAAATTATAAGAGGCACAAACCTGAGGAACACAGTGCTATTAAATGTTAAAATAAGCCTTGAGGAAATAGGTAGTAGCTCATTTTGACTTCCTGGGTGGATCTAATTAAAATGAATCTATTCTGATTTTCCCGGGTTGCAAATAGCAGTCATAAAATCAGTCATGAATTTGAAAATAATACATTTTTGAAAATGGGTTTTAAGAAAAATGCTACAACTGTACTGTGTATATTTATCTCCAACTGCATGGTGTATATTTGTCTTAAAATATTATCTTGTTTTTAGCTTTATTTAAGCTAAAATAAGCTAAAAATACAATATGCAGCTGGTTTAAAATATGTGTTAAGTTTTCTGTTAGGGAGTACTCACAGCAGATCCAGGAGGTCCAGGGGGTCCACGGGGGCCCATAGGTCCCTGTAAAAAAGAGACAAAGGAGATACTGTAAGTTAGCCTGACAAAGTAGTAACTGATATATATATATATATATATATATATATATATATATATGTATTCATGGGACATTTTGTTTAAAGCTACATGCTACAGACCTTCATATGCCTGTATGCCATAGATTAAAAATATACTAAGCATGTGGTTGTAGTTCAGCAGCTGATATGATGCTGTCTGTTAATAAAGAGCTGAACGGTGATTATATAGAGAGACAAAGAAGTGTATATGCATCTATTGAACTTATATTTGCATCACTCAGAGATTTGCAGGACGCATGTGTACTGTATGTGCATGCATGTATAGGCATGTGTATGTTAGCATGTTCATTTTTACCATGGGGCCTGGGACGGCCATTGCTCCTCCGGATTTCTCATCAAATCCACCAGACATCTGAGGAGAAAAGTTCTGTGGAGGGACAAGGAGAAAAGCAAAGACCTTGTCAGTCAAAAGATGAGAGGAGAGGCCCTCAGAAAAATCTCTGCTCATCTCAGCATAGGACAGGAAGAAACTTAACTGAACTTATCTCATGCTCAGGCTTATCTTGAGCTTAATCACAAGCTTTGCATGCCTGAGTGCATCTGTGGCTATTGCCCTGAGGGTGCTGTCCACTTAAATGGTGCTGAAATGTGTCAGCCCTGTGACCTAAAGGTCTTTTAAATGTGATCTGATTTCAAATTATGGCCTAGAACAAATCCTGAAATTTTGCACTTGGCCTAAAGGCACTTCTAAGTCACACCTTTCACCTATCTGTTGGAGAAAACTAGTATTTTCCCTCTTTAGGGTGAGATACTTACTCCACCAAGGCCAGGAGGTCCAGGGGGGCCTGGGGGCCCAGGAAGACCAGGCTGTCCAGGGATTCCGTCATTGCCGGGAGGGCCAGGAGGACCCTGTTTGAGATCAAGGGAAAGGAAAATTAGGATTTAAGTGAATGAGGCAGATGCAACACTATGGTACAGACAGGTTTGTACACTCAGAGCAGTTCACATCAAAGCCTTTACAAAATGTTCAAAGTTCAAAATGATGCACCACATCTATAGGTCAGTTTTTTGTAGCGGTATAATTAGCGCAAAGTGGTGGGCTGATATATAATTCTGTTGTCTTTTTATATTAAATACAGACTAAAACATCTCTCACATCACAAGTGTTCAAAGCACCACAAATACCATAAAATAAGACAAAATAATCCAGCAGCATGTGCATGTAGCAAGTAATATTTTTGTAATTTTTTTTGTTATGAAAACATGTCAGAATTAATGCATGTCAGTAATGCTGCTGAACTTTCTGTTTTATTACATTTGTTTTAGTACTTATGAGTTTTGCCTCAATTTACATTTGTCTCTCTCTCTGTGTGTGTGTATATATATAACAAAATATATATGAATATATGTATAATTCTATTTAATTTAATAATACATATTTAACATATTTAATATGTTATGATTAATATATATAATGAAAAGTATATGTATATATATATATATATATATATATATATATACACACACACACACACACACAAATATAAAAATCAAGAAATCCAACTAAAAATCAGGTAAGCTATAAAAACTAATTTATAAGTAACCTATAAGGAAAATAACGTAAACTTTTATGCAGATGTAATGACTGCTGATTTAGATGTATGTTTTTTTGTTCTCCAAGAACTTCAAGATGTTCAGCAACTAAACAAAACCCTTTATTAAGCAATACACAGATGCATAAAAATAGGGAAATAGAAACCTACCCTTTCACCCTTATCACCAGCAGGACCTCTTGGTCCCTAAGAGAGAATAATGAACACAAAAGCGTTTATAAGGATTTGTTTTCCCAGAAAGGTAGCAAAATAACTAGCTTCAAATAAGTTCAAATGAGGCCTTGAGTATGGTATGCTCATTCATATAGGCCATTTATAAAGATCCTTCTATGAAACAATGAACTGTAAACTTATTTTAAGAAATATAAGCCGATAAAGGTAAAACAACATTTACCTCAACACTGGGCTCCTGGAATTCTATGAAATTGAAGAAAAATTAAAACAAAAATTAAAACCATATAAAAATAGAAAATAATCAGATGCCTCTTTTGGTTTGTAAACGTTTAGCACTAAAATGATAACAATCAGCCTAACAAATGAGTCTGTGGTTTTCCCCAGTTAGATTTGAGGCCTTGCACCTGATTTAGGCCTACTAGAGCAAAACCACAAATTAATCCAGTGAGTGACCATAAGGCCAGAAGCTTGAAGATCACATTTAAAAATCCAATGGGGAGTTAAAGTTGTGGCTCCATATGCATTTTCCCTGACATTTTAAATGAAGGGATGTGGGGTGGTTCTGTTTGCCCAAGTTAAGAAAAAACGGGGCGTGAGAATCAAGGCGTCGTACCGTCTGGGCAGACAGGGCAGCACTCGTCGTGGGGAATCACTGGGTTGGGGCAGTCGGTTGTGTCCTCGCAGATCACCTCGTCGCACATAACGGTGCCGCTGTCGCACACGCAGATTTGGCATGGCTCTGGTTTCCAGACGTCCCTGTCATTGTAGACCTGGCCGTCCAATGTGCAGCTGCCGCCTGTGCCTACGGGAATAACGAGTGAAATAGTTGCATGAGCATGAAAGCAGAAATAGTATTTAAGTATGTCATAGAATACACGATGCTCATGTCTAATGTAGGTCAGTTTGTTTCTTGTTTACGGACGTATGCATGAAGTTAAATCGGTGACGGAAGGTGGGAAATGCTTATAAGGCACTTTTTTGTCGTCTATAAATAATGTCAAAATCTCTTCAATCTCACAAGGGAAATGCGACTGGTTTGGTGTTCTATCTACTGAAATGAGGCCATCTTTTGAGAATCTTGTTTTGTAAACATTTCCCGTAGACGTGGGAACAGATTAGGCTCGAGTAAACGCACACCTTCACTTCTGCTTGAAATGTTTGGTTTGAAATTCATCCCTAGGTGGCGCAGTGTCGTTATGCCCAGATTGCATTATTCAGAGGAAAAAGCTTGAGTGAAAATTTCCACGTCCACGTCTGCTGAAGCTGGCCGTCCATCATGATGTAATTGAAAACTGTCGGCTTGGCAACGACTAACGTTTTCCTTCAGTGGAAAGTCTGCAGGGTCCGCATGTGTTTTCAATCATCATAACGGGGAAAAAGTGAAAGGCATGGGGTGGGGTGGGGGGATTGTCAAAATATGATGTCATTGCATATTTAACCACCGAGTGGCGCTGTGAGACTGCTTGAAATACTTGAGCCCTTCAAACAGGTAAAAAAAATTACGGGTCTGGAATATTAATTAAAAGTAAACCTTGCATTTAAACTAGGTGCATGTCTTGATTTTCTTTCAGGAAATCAAGTAGTCTGGGTTTAACTTAGTTAGCAGACTTAACTATCCAGTTTGGAAACATGCTCATCCAAGAATGAGATCATCGCGCACTCTCGCTCTTTTTTTGGTTTGGGGAAAACTTTTTTAATCGATGTCGCCCATATCCATATTTGTTTTTTCTTTTGCTGGAATTGCACATTTTATTCTAAGTTGCTTGTATACCAAGCAATTTAGCAACCAAGCAACTGGCCAATTATATCACTAGTAAATTACTTAAATCTGAACTTTTCCCCTTAAAGTTTTAAGTTCTACATTTGATATCAGTTCATTTTTCCATTTAAAAGAAGTACTAAGCACGTTATGGACTATTTGCTCTCTGTGTCTGATTTTCTCTTTTAGCAGCTGTTGAGGATAACAAATTGCGCGTGGAGGAGAGTCTCCAAACCTGTGCCAACTTGTCTCCAAAGGCTCGCGCATGCAGAGCGTGAAAAGGCCCAGTGGGTCTAATGCACATCCAGACTGAACAACTCTCTTCTCCCATTCCAGGGGAAAACATAATCTATGCTTAAGGCTACAGGAAAACGCTTGTATAACTTGTTCAGTCCCGGGAGAATCATTTATCTCTACAGCATCACAGAATAGCCTCACTGCTTCACATTTGCACCCACTAACCTCCAGCAAAAGCTTGAAAAGTTGTAGAAAATGATACTTACGATCATCCTCGCCTTGTCCTCTTGCCAAAAGCACCGCTGCGCTGAGCAACAGCGCCAACCGAATATCCACAAAGCTGAACATGTCTAAATATTAGACATGTAGACTCTTTGAGGCGAGGGAAGTTCTTTTTTTTTCCTTTTTTATCAGTTAATGTTTCCATTTAAAAGAAGTAGTGAGCACATTATGGACTATTTGATCTCTCTGTGTCTGCTTTTCTCTTTTAGCAGCTGTTGAGGATAATAAATTGCTCGTGTTGGAGAGTCTCCAAACCTGTGCCAACTTGTCTCCAAAGGCTCGCGTATGCAGAGCGTGAAAAGGCCCAGTGGGTCTAATGCACATCCAGACTGAACAAAAGTTCTTCTCCCATTTCAGGGGAAAATATAGCTAATCTATGCTTAAGGCTATAGGAAAACGCCTGCATAACTTGTTCAGTCCTGAGAATAATTTCTCTCTACAGCCTCACTGCTTCACATTTGCACCCACTAACCTTCAGCAAAAGCTTGAAAAATTGTAGAAAAGTTATACTTACGATCATCCTCGCCTTGTCCTCTTGCCAAAAGCACCGCTGCGCTGAGCAACAGCGCCAACCGAATATCCACAAAGCTGAACATGTCTAAATATTAGACATGTAGACTCTTTGAGGCGAGGGAAGTTCTTTTTTTCCTTTAGACTCCAATCATACACGGTAGGGTCCGGTCTTCTGTGACTCCAATCCAGACCCCAGCAGAAACTCCCTACTGCCTAAACCAACTCTAGGTCCTGGCTTTTATACCCCAAACTTTCTGGGAGGCGCCGGGAGCAGCAGATAACTCAAGCATGTTCACGTTTAATAGAATAGCGTCCCTCCTTCACCGGACAGGGGGGCTGTCTTCACAACGTTGTCAGAGCGAACATCTAAAGAAACCTGATCTCTTAATAAAAAGGTGAGGGTTTGCTCTCAAAACTTCTTTTTGGTGAAGCTATAGGTTGTGTGCCAAGGTGACCACCTGTATTGTGGGCATATCTCCGGACGTTTGTTTCAATCTTGAATTCTGGAAAGACCTCTCGACCCAACGACTTGCTTTCGTCAAATGAGGATTTGGAGATGAGGACGACACAGTGCTTTCTGAACTAAACTTGTTATCGTTTCGTTTTCTTTTTTAAACGTTGTATACCGACGGAATTCAGTTTTTTTAATTTATTTTTTTATATTCCATAACAAATTTTGAAGGTCATGTTTCATTAGTGGATTTCTGCAGCCAATTACTGAACATCTATCTATCTATCTATCTATCTATCTATCTATCTATTTTGTATTAAATAACGTTCAAAAGTTATGTAGCTTATGTATTGTTTTGACAAATTAGGTTTATAATTATTATTCGCATTTTTTTTAATTATTAGCCAAATATTTCGTATTTGTTCTATAAAAAAGTAGGCTAGTTGTGTTTGGTGAATATCTGAAACGTATAGGCCTTCAGGATGGGCACACTTTTATCTTATCACAATTATTTCTGTCATTTATAGGCCCTCTGAATTGCATAGGTTTTCAGTTTCACGAGTTTCAACTTATCGATAATTAAATTCTACATATAACTACTTATAACTGCAGGCTGTCACCGTGGCATCATTTTGAATTTACTTAAAACTTCAAGGCAGCAATTAAACTTCATGTTAGTGGGTTTATTTTTGTTACAGTGAAAGAAGCCACATTGTAATATTAATAGAACAGAGAAAAACACAAATATGGCCTCGCTCAGACTATAAAAACGGAAAACGCTTTTAAAGGTGCACATCCTTAGTACGCGGCACGCACGAGCCATAAAAAGTGATTTGGCTTGTGAGCGGCTGCATCTCTCTTCCGTAGACACGTCGCACCTCTGGAGCTGGCCAATCAGAGCTTACGCTCTCCCCCTCTCTCTTCATCTTCATAGCAGCGTCTCATCCAAGAGCTGCGTCTGCCTCCTTACTCCGTTCAGAATAATGCAGATGAAAGGAGTCTAGAGAGAAAGGGAGGGAGAGAGAGAGAGGGAGAGAGAGAGAACGCCACCTCATCGCTTTCAGGTGCACGTAGGGTCAGTCGTGATGAAAGCACTTGTGCTCCATTCACACACTAATGAAGGGTCCAAGCAATTTGACTTAAGGCATAATGGAAAGGAATGGACATTTAAACTAATAACCCGATGAGAAACTTTGATTCTGACAAGTGCAGAGTATGTCAAGAGGAATTTATTTTGATTTTTTTGCAGTTCAGTGTGTGAATGTGTGTGCTTAATACTCTATGTTAATAGTATGTGCTTAAATTTACAAGTGTTTAAATGTTTATGTACATAAACATTTACCATTTAACATTTAAAACATTACATTTAATATTCATAACATTGACATTAACATTACATTTAACATTTATAACATTTAAAATAAATAAAGGTTGAGTTGAGTATAAATATCTGCATTAAAATACAATAATGCATTTTTCCTTATCAATTTAACAATATAAAAAAATATAAACTCTAATAGTTTTATTTACATTAATCATTTAGACAATATTTTTGTTTAAAGCAACTTATAAATAATTAAAAGCCAACATGAAACTGTATTAGCAGCACCACGATTGCTAAGTACAAAATCTAAATTATATCTGTGGGAAACAGTGAAAAGATGAAAGAGAAAGGGTTTTTAATGCATCTTTATTTGATGTTTTTTTTACTTTCTGTGGTGAAATGCACCATATATCATTGGCAACACACACTCTGACCTTTCTACAAATCCACAAAAATGAAATTTTTTGCTTCTAATTTGTTCCCCCATCCAACAATTTTCACAAAAATAGTAACCAAACATATTTCAAATGAAAGGCATAGAAATGAAACAAGAATGCTGGCAAAGGCTTGCCAATTTCTACTGAACAAAACAGCAAAAACGCATTCATCTACTTATAAATATCCAAAGTCGCAGAAACAGACGTATAATTTGCAGTCGTACAGCCAAACTTCAGTTAGACGATTTCTGAAGACTAAAGATTGTGTACATTTGAAACATTCTTTGATGCTCAAAATCAAACTTTTCATTGCCATTCATAATGTAAATTGTAGTAATAGTGTCAGTCAGCAGCTTGAGCAACACTGTGACAAAAAAGTGCAATTAAAATAATTCAGTGTCAGTGTTATGCTAAAGATATCTCAAATTCAATACTGTATATAGCATATTTGCCAATTGTTGCCAAGAAATGTGCAGCAAAATGTCTTCACATGTCTCTATCATTTGTCTAAATAACTATAAATAAAGAAATACCCAGCAGTGGCCAAAGTAGTGACTTGAAAATTTATGAAAATGGATGCAACCACAAGAAGCCAAGTATTAGTGTTTAGCCTGGGAGAGCAAAGCCTTCTGGGAGCTCTCACATTGTCCAAAGCCAGCATGAGCTGCAAGCAGAGAAAGAGCCAAGCACAACACAGCACAGACAGCTTCTAAAGATGTGACCTGGAAAAGGCAGCAGGATAGAGGGAAGAAGAAGAAGAACTTTTCATTGGGCCGAAAAATTGATCTTAAATGAGATCTAGTTGGTTTCCTATCAGAGTGAGTGGTTTGTATGGGACGAGGAGCTACTTTTCAGTAAACCGAGACCATTAAAAAGTAATTTTTCTTCATGCAAGATGAAGGCATACATTGAAAAGTTCACTCCAGAAAGTGCTTTTTTTTTTTTTTTTTTTCTTTTTTTTCCCACACTGACGTTT